CAGATCACTGGGGTAGTGTACTTGGGCTGTATCTGCTCAAGTCTCTTCCTGAAGATCTCTCAATATGGTTTTCCCTACTACAGAGTATTCATTGTGTTACATTTTGTTTTGTTAACATGATCTCACTATGTAACTCAGGTTGGTTTCAAATTTCAGATTCTCTGGTCTCAGCCTCCTGAGAATTTCAATAACAAAGCTAGCATAATAAATGGAACATTCATCAACCTCTAATGAGTATATTTTAGTTACTTAAATTCCTTTCTAGGAGCAGGGCACCAGTGACTCTCTCCTGTAATTCCAGCTACTTAGGAGGCTGAGATCTGAGGATTTCAGTTTGAAGCCAGCCTGGGCAGGAAAGTCTTAAGTTTTATTAAGTCTTAGGAAAAGCTTATCCAAATGGATAAAATCCCCATTATAAACCACAACATTACAAAGCAAAGCTGAAACATATAAAGAGCATTACTGTCCATGAAGTAGTTCATGCCTGTTATAAACCACACACATTACAATGCAAAGCTGAAACATGTAAAGAGCATTACTGTCCATGAAGTAGTTCATGCCTGTTATAAACCACACACATTACAATGCAAAGCTGAAACATGTAAAGAGCATTACTGTCCATGAAGTAGTTCATGCCTGTTATGCTAGCTGCTCAAGAAGTAGAGATGGGATAGATCATTTTAGGACAACCAAGACTTAAAAAAAAATCATGAGACCTCATCTCAATCAATAAAAAACTTAGTGCAGTCATATGTGCCTCTCATAGCTACACAGAGGAAGCAAAAATAGGAGAGTGGTCCAGGCTGGCCTAGGCAAAAAGTAAGACCCTATTTTAAAAAAGAGAAAAAAAAGAATAGGTGCATAGCTCAAGTGCTAAAATACATGCCTGAGCTCAAAAACCAAAAAACACCCATGGATCCAGTCAACATAAGAATAGTCAGTGGGCATGGTGGCTCATGCTTAATTCCTAGCTCTCAGGAGGCAGGAGGATGGCAATTCTAGGCCCTCCTGAGCATAAATTAAGCAGGACTTCATCTCAACAAAGAATTTATATATGGTGGCATGTACTTCTCATCTCAGCTTGAAAGACACAAATAGGAGGATTACAGATTAGGCTGGTCTACACATAAACATGAAACTATCTCAAAAATAAAGTAGAAAATGTGGCTTAACCACAAGGCCTTGAGTTCAAACCTCAGTATCTCCTCCCAAAAGGGAAGATTACTATCTATTCAACAAGAGTAGATTTTTGTTCTAAGCAAGGACCTATTTAGGTCCTTGTCCAACAGGCTCGGATACCCTCCTGCAAATGACAGCACTTGATCTGACAAGAACGGGTACATGCTAGGTAGGGCCAAGGAGACGTGGTGGCCTTGGCATCTCACAGAAGGGAGGAAGCACTTCTCTGAAGACAAAATGTGGCTTAGTCTTCTTTCCTCACTAAAATAAATAGCTTAAATTCTGTTCTTGTTCCAAGACCTTCACTACAAAATCTCTGGTTAGCTTCATCCTTGACTCCTTGAAGACCTCAGGTTTTCTGTCTTGACTGAAAAATAAATGCAGGAGATGTCCAGGTAAACACCTCACTTTCAGTGCTAGAAGGCAGGACCCATGAGCTCTTTGGGGTTTCTTTTGTCCCACAGTGCCAAACTCTATAAAGAACTTAGACTGGTTACTTACTGAAGGTGTATGTTCTCAAATGTAAATTGTGAGTACCTTCCCATCCCCCACAAAAAAAATAAACAAACAAACAAAAAAAACCTGTCTCTGACCCTCTGAGTCAGAGTAGGAAATTTCTTAGTACCAACTAAAGCATACGGACTGTAAGGTAATAACTAGAGAATGAGGGACATTCATATCACTCATGAACATGGCACTTGCATCATTTTGGAAGTCGTTTCTAAAAATACATTATCACTACTCTGAGAGAAAAGAATTACTACTTCCATTTAACCAAAAGTACAATACTTCAATGACTTGGAAAAACCACAGTTGTTATAAAAATGGCAGATTCTGAACTTCCTAGAGTTAAGATATACAAAAAGAGAGTAATGGAAAGGCCATGTAATGAAAATGACACAGTCTTCCCTTAAGTCCATCACCATACTACCATGGTTATAACCACAAATCTATTAAGAATTACTTTTGATGAAGTATTTACAAGGAAAATAAAAGATCTGCAGAAGGATTTTGCTGGTTTTAATCCAAAATAGGCCATGTTATACATTAGTAAGTATGTGTTTACATTATTAAACATGTGTAAAAGCTTTTAAATATCAAAGGGGGTTTTCAAGTATCTCCTAAGTTTGAGAAAACACATTATCTACTACTCAGGATGCCAACATGGAGGCTGGCTCAGCAATCCATAGTGGCTCTGGGCCTTCACCAAGGAGCACACAGAAACCTAAAACTGAATTCATGGGGCTGGGAAGGTGGCTCAGTGGTAGAGTGCTTGCCTTGCATGCATGAGGCCCAGGGTTCGATTCCTCAGCACCACATAAGCAGAAAAAGCTGGAAGAGGTGGTGTTAGCGCTCAAGTGGTAGAGCGCTAACGTTGAGCTGAAGAGCTGAGGGACAGTGTTCAGGCCCCAAGACTGACCAAAAACAAACAAGCAAACAAACAAACAAACAAAAATCTCGATAAGAAATGTACTCATTATCTTGCCCATGTAATTATAACCCAACTGTACAGTATTTTCACACACAAAAAAATCTCAACTCATGATCTAGAAATCCCTACTTTTTCTGGAGTTTCTACTTACGTACTCATGATTTCTATCTGGGTAATGAAGGACCCCAGCCAAGGCGGTATGTAACATACTTTCCAACATCACATCGTTCAACCCATAGCTGTACTATTACACTTGATGCCTCTGTGGCAGTAGGAGAGCTGAAATGTCTTCTCTCTTTCCAGTACTACAGGTTTTCCTAGTTTTCCTATTTTTACCTTTCTTGTCTTTACTTTCCACCTTTCTTTGCATCTCTACTTCTCCATCGTCAACACTCTTATCTTTGAATATCAAAGGAGAAACCATTAGTATGCAACTCAAAAAAGAGCCTTAACCAGAACCTTACCATATTCAGATTTCCAACCTCCAGAACCATGTGGGAGTAGTAAATTTATGTCATATATAAGCCGCCAAATCTATGGCATTTTGTTATAGCATCCTAAAGACTAAGATATACTTGCTCCTTTCCAACAGCTTTTTGAAAAGCATCTAATGACATTTTAAGATACCTGAAATAGGTATTGATTTTTCATAAGAAAATACCCAAATAAGCTAATGAATCATGAAACATACTATCATCAAGGTGCTGGGCACCAGTGGCTCACACCTGTAATTCTAGCTACTCAGAAGGCTGAGATCTGAGGATTGTGGTTTGAAGCCAGCCTGGACAAGAAAGCCTGTGAGTCTCTTATCTCCAATAAACTACTCAGAAAAAGCTAAAAGTAGAGATATGGCTCAAGTGGTACAGCACTAGCCTTGAGGACAAAGAGGCTCAGGGATAGCATCCAGGCCCTGAGTTCAAGACCAGGGACAACACTCCCCCACTCCCCCACAAAAAATCATCAAGGTGCTATGAGGTAAATATTTGCAAGAAATTATCAGCCATGACTTTCTTTTAAATGTGTGCCTAATGTAAATATCTATCAAAATAAATGTTGGTTACATTTCACATACAATCCCATTATCTGTGATTCTTACCAGACTAAATAAAGCTGGCATCAACGGCTCATGTCTATAATCACAGGTACTCTAGAGACTGACATTATTTAGGAGGTAGAACCTCCTAAGCTCCTCAGGAGGATCATGGTATAAAGCCAGTCAGGATAAAAAGCTCACAATACTACTTCAATCAATAAGTAGGTATAATGGTATGTACCTGTCGGCCAGCTATGTGACACACTGAGATTGAGGCAAAAAAGCTTGCAAGATCCTGTATCTATAGAAAGAGCTGGACGTAAGGATGCACATCTGCTATCCAGCTACAGTGGAAGGATACATCCTTCAGGCCTATCCAAGCCAAAGTGAGTCCCTAAAGGGGCTGCAGGCTTGGCACAAGTGGTAGAGTATCAGGCTAATAAGAGCAAATCTCTGAGTTAAAATCCAACTATTGTTATTTTTTTTTTAATGGGTAGAAGGACTGGGAAGGTGGCTCAGTGGTAGAGTGCTTGCCTTGCATGCATGAGGCCCTGGGTTTGATTCCTCAGCACATGAACAGAAAAAGCAGGAAGTGGCACTGTGGCTCAAGTGGTAGAGCACTAGCCTTGAGCTGAAGAGCTGAGGGACAGCGCCCAGGCCCAGAATTCAGGCCCCAACACCAAGGCAGAAAAAAAAAAAAAAAAAGAAACTATTGCTTATCCAGGAAATGTTAGCTCTCTACCTCTTTCTATTCTGACTGTATATTTCCCATTGGCTTGAAAGAAATGACTCATCTACCTGTACCAGTGGCTGCTCTGTATTTTGGCATCTGATAAAATTTAAAGATGCCTAGAAAAAAGAAAAGGAAAAAGAAAACCACTATATAAAATATTCTCGGGGTTGGGAAGGTGGTCAGTGGTAGAATGCTTGCCTTGCATGCATGAGGCCCTGGCTTCGATTCCTCATTTTGATTTTTACACTCTTGGTCTTAGGCAGGCAACTCTCTGCTGTTGAGGCCAGGAGCTTCAGGTAGTTAAGATCATTGAGTCCAAAAGCACTCTGGGAATCTTTCAAATTCAAGACCTTTCAGACAGGCAGAGGAAAGGAAGAGGAAAACAGGGACATGGGAGACAAATGACCCACAGGAGGAGGACAGGCCCTTATATACTGTCACCTTAGCATCTTTGCCCCTGGGACATGAGAGGGAGAAATTGTGTGTCAAGTCTTCACAACAGCAAGTCTAAAACTGAAGCAAAAGACGTTTAAGTGGTAGGATGGGGGTGAGGAGGGAGGGATGGAGTTGTGCTCAACAACCAGAAGTAACCAAACAAAAATCAGAACAAAATCACAGCTGACCTCACTGTTGTGGCCCCGCAGGTTGAAGTTTATCCTCTGTGGAGTACTCCTGTCTCTGCGGCAATGGCTTGAGGTGAAAGTCACCCCCACCACACCGCGCCCGTTGCCAGTGGCCAGCCAGCCTTCTTCATAGTACCGCCTCCGGCACACAGGCTTCTCCTTCTCGCTCTTGGGGACGCGCCCCTTCCAGGACAGGCAGAGGATGTTGGAGTCACTGCAAAGCACAGGCCCATGTTCCACCGCTGCATACATACTTCTTTCAATAAATTATTTCACTTAAAAAGTAGAGTTTAGTATTGAAAAATTTGAAACAATTTCTTTTGTTTATCTTTGTGGTTGGCTTCTGTTGCTTTTCCCCCCTTTAATTAAGACTGACCTAGAACTAATTAGAAGGCCAGAATTTTATAAAGATCCACCAAATGCATAGTGAAAAAATTCCTCTATAAAAGATGATGGCAGTCTGTTAAGAAAAGGGAATGCCTAAAAAAACATGAGCTCCATTTTTATTTTCAAGTCGTTAGAAGAGGAAGAACGTGCTGATCCTTTGGACAAAGAGCTTTGTCAGAAAGCGGTGGTCAAGAAACAGGGTTCTCTTCTTTTTTCTATACAACTTCTCATTCAGCCTGAGATTCCAGTTTTGAGTAATGTGATTCCAGAGACAAAGGGTTGCAAATACATAGATTTCAAGTAACTTAAGGCTTTAAGAATCCCTCTAGCTGGAGTTCTCTATTCAAAAGTTCAGATACACAATACACAGGATCTTCCTTCTGAAGCCACCCGCTGGCATGTTTTCTGAACTAGACAAATTTCTGCTGCTACAGCTGAAAAAGATTGCATAAAGGGAAAAAAAGGCACACAAACCGTGCAAAACAGACCAGAGTTTGTGCAGACAGAAGTCCAAATTTTAGGAAGAAAAGCAGTTTCCCTACTGTTCAGAACCAGAAACTCCCTGCCTCAAAACTGGGCCCTGTGTCCCCAGGGAACACAGGGCTTTCTAGGATGACTTTTCCACTGGTGGGTACACTCCTCCATGCCATAGAGCTAGAAAGCTAGCCCCTTTCCTCAGCTGAGGCAGAGGCTAAAGCTACTCAAGTGGACCAAGTCCTTGCCTTGGGCAAGTCCTAAATCTTCTTGCCAACAAGTTACACTGCAAGATGTTCCCTTTCCCTTTCTTATTTCCTATTTACTTCCCCACTATTCTGCTCCTAAAGATCATGTATTTTACTATCTTAATGAAAAACTGTAACCTAAGAATTAAATCTATCAAGTAATCTTCTTATACGCAGTCTTCCTCATCTCAAGAAGATGAACAATTCCTTACAGCACACACCCAGGGCACCATCAGAGTCCTTCAGACTGTACCATCTGCCAAGAGGGTCACCGTGCTTCAATAACAAGCGTCTTCATGCCCACATGCAAGGCCTGTTTTCATGCCTTTAGCCCAAGTTGAAAAAGCAGCTTTGTTTAGTTTTCCTTGATATTTGTAATTATCAATTCCAACTCTCCTACAGATGCAGAAAAGGGAAAGCCAAAAAATTAAACTAAAATTCCTCAAATATAGTTAAATAAAAACAGCAAAGGAATTAGTTCATTGTTCAAAATTGTGTCATCACACCTAAATTTGTTTTCTGAAGCCACAGTAACAGTAAAAGTTACTTTTCTGTCCAGAATTTTAAAGTCTGTCCAAGTCACAAACCCAATAAAAAAATAAAGTGCAAAAACCACTGCATGATCCCACTTGCAATGTTTGAATTCACACTTCCCTACTTATACTCCTTCTTTAAACTGCAGAGGTATTTCTGAGGCTTAATCTGTGCAATTTTTTTTCTTCTTTTTGCAAACTTTCTTTACCCGTGAACACCATATGGAAAATTGGCCATTAGTGATATGTTTCTCCCGAGGCTCCTGAGCCTTGTGGTATCAAGTTGCTTCATCTGATTTTTAAATTAATTTGCATCAGTTGTAAAACTCTCAATGGCATAAGAATGAGCTTCTCTTCTTATGTAAATCATATGTATAGAGAGAGGATTTTAAATATACACCAACACATTCTTCTACCAGCACTTGCACTTAAAGTACTTGTTTTCCCAGTCACTTCAGGAAATCATCAGATTAATCACTGTTTGAAGATCTTGGAGTCTTACAAATCTGTAAAACAAAAAGGATATAGAACAAAAGAACTTTAAAATACTAATGAATAAATGCTCTAACAAAATAATTGCTATAGTTTAAATTAGAAACCCATCTCTACACTTAAGTCTATAGAGCACTGATTACATTGCTAAAATTTAGATAGCAAAAGAATATGCTGCATGAACTTTGAGAACACATATAACATGAAGAATTTGACTATCATGGACCATTCATTTTGTTAGATCTGTCAAGGGCTAGTTACATCTGGATGAAATCATTGCTCCATTCTTCTGCATCACACTGTCCTTTCTAAAACTCTGGAATCTGGACATTGTTTAAGCAGGAAATTTGTTTAAAAAGAGACCCAGGTAAATTACTTGAATTAATTTTGTCACTATCAGTAAGATAATCCCTAATGACAGAAAGCAATAAGGACTTTTTTAAAAAATATATTTTTATTGTGAAAATACTATACAGAAGGGTTACAATTACATGGATAATGAGCACATTTTTTTTTTTTTTTGGGTCCGGTCGTGGGGCCTGAACTCTGGGCCTGGGCGCTGTCCCTCAGCTCTTCAGCTCAAGGCTAGAGCTCTACCACTTGAGCCACAGCACCACTTCCGGCTTTTTTCTTTTTGCTTATGTGGTGCTGAGGAATCGAACCCAGGGCCTCGAGCATGCAAGGCAAGCGCTCTACCACTGAGCCATCTTCCCAGTCCCATGAGCACATTTCTTATCAAGCATTGTAGCCTCCTGCTTTGTTTCCCCTTCCCATCCCTTCGTATCCACCCCCACCCTGTCCCCCCACCAAAGTTGTAAAGTTTGTTTTTTTCTTTTCTTTTTTTTTTTTGGTCGGTTGTGGGGCTTGAACTCTGGGCTTGGGCGCTGTCCCTGCACTCTTCAGCTCAAGGCAAGCGCTCTACCCCTTGAGCCACAGCACCCCTTCCGGTTTTCTAGCAGTTTATTGGAGATAAGGGTCTCACAGACTTTCCTGCCTGGGCTGGCTTTGAACCACGATGCTCAGATCTCAGCCTCCTGAGTAAGCTAAGATTACAGGCATGAGCCACCGGCGCCCGGCTTAAAGTTCGTTTTTCAACATAACGACTTATACATCTCATTGTTGCAATTGTATCCTTGTTTTAACAATTTGTTTTTTCCCTTCCCCTCCACATATACCAACATCATACATAGTGAAAGCAGGGGTTATTCCATGGGGGAGGGACATACAAGGCAACAAAGACATAATCTTATAAATATGTTAGAAAGATCTCTCTCTCTTTTTTTTTTTTGGTCAGTCATGGGGCTTGAGCTCTAGGCCTGGGAGCTGTCCCTGAACAATTCAGCTCAAGGCTCATGCTCTACCACTTGAGCCATCGAGCCAGCAGTAAGGACTTTTAAAAGCTCAGATAGCAGGCAACAAACAGAGCAAAGCGCAACTGTTTTCTCACCTTTTAAGTTACTGACTGGCAATAAAGTTCTAGAGAATCTATCTCTAGTATATCTATCCTATCCCTCTTCCGACTACCTAACAAGCAGGCCCACATCACATCCTCGAAAATTCCCCACTCTGCCCCCATCCAAGGGGCCCTCAAAGTGATCTGTCAGAAGTGCAGTGGTTAATTTTTCCAGACACTGAAGGGCAAGGCCAGGATGTCTGCGTTTCTAATAAAGTTCCAAGAAATACTAATTCTGCCAGTGAGAGGAACCACCGGCTGATAGGATCAAGTTTCTGCAAGATCCATTTAGGAAAACTACTTTCATCATAATACAAGGCCATTCTTTCATTTGTATCTATGATGTAAAAGCCAATGGTGATCAAACTGTCAGCTCTAAGAAAATTTTTGACATGTCTAAGATCTACAATATTGAGGTTGTTATGCTATGCATTTCCACATATAGATTACTCTAGTTACCATCATCGTGTGTGTGTGTGTGTGTGTGTGCGCGCGCGCGCACGCGCGTGCGTGTATGCGTGCATGTATATGTGTTACCAAAATCAGTTTCTGGCAAATGTGAAGGATGCTGCTATAAATACCTGCATATATCTGGACCCTGCAGGAATTGTGAGAAATGTGTCTAATGCACACATTCAGGTGTGGAATTACTATGTGAGGATTATCCATGCATATCTGCAACATTACTAAATCAATGGAGAAGTATCAATTGTACCAGCAGTACATGGATTTTCTGGGAAGTGCGGTCATGGAGTTTGAACTCAGGGTCTCAAGCTTGCTAGGGAGGCATTCTACTACTTGAGCCACTCTCTAGCCCTACACTGCTTTACTCATATCTGAGGAAAACTTCAAACTACCCAACCTGGCTTCTCCCATAGTATGCAAACTAGGCAACTACACCATTCTTTGTGGGGGTGGGGGGGAGTGAGGGGAGTCATGGGACTTTGTACTCTGGGCTTGGGCGCTGTCCCTGCACTCTTCCGCCCAAGGCGAGCACTCTACCTCGAGCCACAGTGCCACTTCAGGTTTTCTGGTAGTTTATTGGAGATATGAGTCTCACAGACTTCTCTGTCTGGGCTGGCTTTGAACCATGATCCTCAGCTCTCAGCCTCCTGAGTAGCTAGGATTACAGGCGTGAGCCACCGATGCCCAGCTAACTATACCATTCTTATTGAGATAGTACCTCACTAACTTTTTTTTGCCAAGGCTGGCCACAAACCATGATCTTCCTAATATGTACTTCCTCAGTGAATGGGATTACAGGTACAAGTCACTGTACCTGCCTAGTCCATGGATTCTTTTTTAAGTTAACTACAGAGGGCTGGGAAGGTGGCTCAGTGGTAGAGCGCTTGCCTTGCATGCATGAGGCCCAGAGTTCGATTCCTCAGCACCACATAAGCAAAAAGAAAAAAGCCGGAAGTGGCGCTGTGGCTCAAGTGGTAGAGCACTAGTCTTGAGCTGAAGAGCTGAGGGACAGTGCCCAGGCCCAGAGTTCAGGCCCCACGACCGGACCCAAAAAAAAAAAAAAGTTAACTACAGAATGTCCTTAATCCAGCAGTTTAAAAGAAATTAAGCCAGCCAGGTGCCGGTGGCTTACACCTGTAATCCTAGAAACTCAGGAGGCTGAGATCTGAGGATCCAGCCCAAGCAGAAAAGTCCATAAGACTCTTATCTCCAATTAACCACCAGAAAAAAGAAGTGGTGCTGTGGCTCAAGCGGTAGGGCAGCAGCCTTGGGCTGAAGAACTCAGGGACAGCACCCAAGCCCCAAGTTCAAGCCCCATGACAGACAAAAAAAAAGGGATTAAGCCAAGTGGTGGCTCAGACCTATAATCTTAGCTACTTGGGAGTCTGAAATCCAGAAGATCACAGTTCAAAGCCAGCTCAGGCAGAGAAGTCCGTAAGACTCCATCTCCAAACCAACCAAAAAAAAAAATCAAGGCTTAAGGTGTGTCTCAAGTAGTAGAACACCAGAACAAGCACACTGAGTAAGTGTGAAGTTCTGGGTTCAAACCTGAAATGAAGTATCACCCAAAATTCAGCTGATTAGTGGTTAAGATGGGTGCTAGGTAAATGCAGAAAGCTAATAGGAAAAAAACTAATGCTAGAATTTCAATCTTATGTCTGGGCTGTAGCTCAGCAGTAGAACTTTGCCTAATGTCCAAAGGCCCTGGGTTCAATCCCCAGTACTGCAAAGAAAAATAAAAGTTTTAAGATACAGTGTGGGCCCAGATTGGCCTTGAATTTACATATTCTAATCTTGGTCTTGTGAGGAACTAGGATATAGCTTCATGTTACCTCCCTTGGCAGCATTAAAAATTATTAATTTGATTAAATACTTTTACATTTAAGGCTTAAATATGCTATGTTCCAAAATAGCAATCATAAGGATGTGATTGCTAAAGTACATGGTAATCCTGAGGAAAAGCATTTGTACTCAAGTTTGAGTTACAAACTGAATTCATCAAATTTTTCTCATGGTATACTGGGCTTAACAGAAAGAATGAATGACAAATTATAGTTTTAGCATTCCCTAAATATTTTCTTGAATGTGAACAAAGTGGACCTGCCTTTTTATATTTATTGTCAATGACAAAAACTGAGCTTTCAAAATAAAATTAGAATTCTGGAAAACCACCATCTGTCACTATGAGCTTGCTGACTCCCCAAAAGATATTCCTCATGCAACTAGGGGTGACACTAATAATTTTGTACTTTGCATTTTGTATTCCATTGTGTTCCTATGATTTGAGTATGTTTTCCTCCCCTCTACCAAAAGTTCATGTACTGAAAGCTTACTTCTATAAGGCAGTACTAAAAAATCATGGTACTTTAGGAGATGGAAATATGCAATGGAAGGGAATGAGTCAATATGCTGTCATGAAAGTATCAGCAGTGGGTTAGGAAAGACATGGAGACAGCTAGAGTTGTGACTGTGACTTTCTGGCTAGACTTGGTACTCAATATGCAACCTGGTGCCAGGTTGTACTGAGGTGGTGAAATTCAGATTGAGGCATGAAGGTCACCTTAACAGCTGGCCTATCACAGGCAAGGATGTGGTCAGACACTTGGAGGCTCAGACTGGCCCTGATATGTGAGCTATGCTGGCTGCTTCCCTTTCTCACTCTCAAAGCTGTCAGGTTTAGGAGAAAATTCAAGTAGCTTATTTAGCACAGAAGAAAGATGGCTGGGATTAGAGAAGAGCAACCAAAAAATGCAGTTGCAAATGTCCTGGAGTTCCAGGAAGTGGCAGAAAAATACAAGCATTTCCAAGTGGAGGTGTGGCTCAAGTAGTAAAGCACCAAATGCGCAAAAAATACTTATCCAGGCCCTGTATTCAAGCCCCAGGAGACAGACAGACAGGCAGACAGACAGACACACACACGCACACACACACACGCACGCACGCACACACACAGAGTTTTGCCAATGGAGACACAGACACAGACACACATACACACACACACAGAGTTTTGCCAATGGCTCACATCTGTAATCCTACTCAGGTGGCTGAGATCTGAGGATCTCTATTTGAAGGCAGCTTGGGCAGGAAAGTTAGTGT